GCAACACCTCAGCTAGGCAAGTAGGGTAGCTTTGGCAACAGCACCCAGGGGCGGCCGGCAGTGACCACCATGTTTGCATCAAGCCAGGATATCAAGTCAGTAAGGCAAGGTCCACTGCGGCAACATATATGGCTGCATGCAGGCATATACCAACTCTGTCAGAGCTAGCCTCAAGCAGATGTAGCCTAACTCCTATGGGAGTAGAAGAAGGGGTGGAAGAGCCTCCTGGTTTTCTGGGGCCCTGGCTGGGACCAAGAACTACCTGGTTCCAACAGGAGTTGGCCATGCAAACAATGCATGACAGCAGGGTAGCAATAGCTACTTCACGATCATGAAGTGATTGGAGGGGTTTGCAACTGTCATATTTTCAAGTATCAGCTCCTGTGAAATTGGTCAAATCCAAGTTAATTCCAATATTATTTGGTTTTAACTAATTTAATTTGCTTTTATTAATCAAGGACAAAAGCCTGTTCCAAGCTTTTCAGGCACAGCATGTATCTATAATGACCTTTCACTATCTCTCTCCAGAAGACATCTGCGTGGACGTAGCGAGAGAAGTATTTCTCCTCTTGCACTTAGGAAGACAGATCAGCCTTGGCTGATGTAGTCCATTCCCTGGGACAAACAGCTGCAAATGGAGCAGAGAAAGCCAACAGAGTTCCGGCTTGTATGTCCTGTATGAGTAATTCAGGCTGAAAGACCTTTGTATGGAAATTCAAGTACTGCCTGGACTACATCACTATTTTCACCCTGGCTGCCGGAGAAGAACATATGTCAATACTTGAGAAAGCAGTAAGGCCCTGAAGGAGATGAGGGGCTCTCACAGTAGAAAGCGCACACCCTTGGGTAATACGCCAGAGACAGCTCTCTCTGAGCACACTATTGCAGCAAACTTTCTGTTAGACTGCTCTTATGTCAGTGTAACTTATTTTCTTGAGTCTCATTTCCTTCCCTTTTATAGGTACCTCAGGTGACGTTCCTTATCTGTAACACATTCTGTCAAGTAATATTAAGACTAACTAGATTGTACAGACGATACTGGGCCTGGATATTATTTTAATAGCAGTCCCATATTCATTAACATTATCTTAGATGCCAGAGACTAAGTTATTCCATAGGGCAAATAAACTTGGCTTGGCTTAATAAAAATGTATCTGATGGCTAACAAGGACAAAGCATTTGAAATAATGTTCTGGGGCAGAGGCTCTGTTCTTCGGGACACTTGAAGAAAGTTCAAGTTTCGCAGTTCACAAAACATGAAAGCTATCTGGCTGTTCATCGGAGAGCGCTCACAGTCTCCAGTGGAAGGCTTCCAAGGAGGCTACAGAGGCAGCTGTCATCAAAGAATAGTCAGTCAGCTATCACCTTTGCTGAGTTTTTAGTCTAGAGACCTGGAGTTTGCTATCCTCCCACTGGGCTTCAGCTACGGTAAGGAAACTTAGAAAGAAATGTCATGAAACACTCAGATATCAAACACACTTCCCCTATGCCCCCCTCCATTTCAACCCCATTCCTTTTTCTCCAGTTGTTCACCCTTAAAACAAAGAAGCGCTCTCCTTCCTTCCTTTGTTTTTGTTCTGCCGCTTTGGATCTGAAAAATGGTACTTTTGTAAGTACTTTTTCTTCGGCTGAAAATGAGTTCCCATTCTTGCAGCTGCCACAGACGTTATAAGCAGCATTTTATTACAAGTAAAATCGATGCGGCAGTATTACAACATTTTTATCAGTGCAACAAACAGAATTAGGTTAAACGACAATCTCATTACTGCTATAGAAGCCCCAATAAATGGGAACCTTTCTTGCTAAAATATATGGAACAGCCAAAATAAGACAAAACTAAAACCCAAATTGCCCAATTAAGAGGGCTGCATCCATAACACAACTGGAAGATCAATATCCTTTCAAATATACAGAGAGAAAATTGCCCTCATCTGCCTACATAAATTTATTCATCGAAACACCATCTCATAGCAGGATTTTTAGGTCTGATTATCCTATCGTGGTACTATAATGTTAAAACTACATTCCTCACTGCTGGGCCTGTTTATGAAAAGCACTCTGTAGGCCTAAATGAAATAACATTTTTCCTTATGCATTAATATGGCCAATCTTATTCTCACTTTACAAGAAAGCATCTTCGGAAGTAATGAACTAAAACGCACAGTAATACTACTTGTATGTTAAGTCACCATTTGAAATGAAACGTGATGTTGTGAGTTAATAATGGCCAGAATGATAACAGCTATTTAGATTTCCTCTCACTTACTTCTCCATGCCTTTCTATTATGTTGAGGATTTTTATCATAGCAAACATTTATTCGCATTTTTTTCCTCATTGCAAGATGTTCATGATTAACACTGCAGAGGACTGAATCCAGGAATTAAAAATGAGGAATTACGGATTTTTCTGAAGGCAGATACTAAACCTCTAGAGGTGTCACAGATTGCACTTAGCTTTGCGAGTCACTCTGGAAAATCTTACTTTAAAGACCTTTAAAGCCTACAAAGCTCTACTACAGAAAAAAAGACTGTGAGACTCTCTATATGCTATCTGTAGCCAGCATACATGGAGAAAAAAAGAACAGTTCAATATTCATAACAATATAAGCCTCTCCACTATACGTATCACAGAAGGTATTACTAACTGTGATATACTCTGTCGAGATCACATCTCCAGATTACTTCAGAAATAGCAGGGACATACAATTTGAGACTAAGCCTGAGCTCAACATCCCTATTCCCTCCTGAGCATCCTCATTCCTTCAGAATTTCTTTTAACCACTTACAGTAACACATCTCTCATTTCTCTATCAGCTGTTCCCAGACAGACCCACCTATTCCTTAGGAGGGAACACGTGATTAAAGTTGGGTAGTTTTTTTGAGCAGATTGGAGAAATCAGTGGAAAACTAAACTGTGCCAAAGCCAAAATTGTTGGGAAAATGAAGGTGGATTCAGCAAACGGCATCAGTTGAAAGAAATGAGTGAGAAACATTTTGGAAAAGCTAAACTATTCCTTTGAACTTCTGGGGGAGAGGGGCGGTATTAAAAACATTTTGAAGCATCAATTCTCATTTAGAAGGTAACCTTAATAAGAAACACAGAATGAAAAAGCAAATTTCTTCGGACTTAATGGAAAAGCTTTAGGCTAAACAAAAAACAAAACTATGGGATTTTATTTCTTAAAACTTCCTCCTTCCCTCATCACCCTAAATAATTTCTGGTTAGGTTCTACAAGAGCTCATCAATTTCCCTCAGTGTTTTGTTTTGACCAAGAACCAAAAGAGGCCCCCAAAACCTGTCCAGCTGTACTTGTTTTACCACAAATGGGCCTCAAGTTTTTGTTGTTTTGGTTTTGTTTTGTTTTTCCTGTGTGTGTGACCATGACCAGTAACTTCTCTGGATCAAATACTCCTGTGACTCACTACCAGCACCCAGAAGGGAAGTGGGGCTGGAAAAAGTGCACCCCATCAGTTTTCCTAACTAGTATTCTCCATGAATTTAATGACTTTTTATTGCTCTTAAATTGATTAATATATTTTTGCTGGCAATATGTCATATTCATTTTTTTCCCATTATTGAAATACTGTTGAAGATTCAATATCCAAAGAAACATCAGAATTTTGTCTAAACTGGCAAGCTGGAGTGGGGCGTGTAGGGAGGAAATACCTGGAAAGCCCACCCGTGCACAAGACAAGAGTACAGCTATAATTCATAGAAGCACAGTCTGGTCAGCTTTTTTCCCCTTGGGAAAAAAAAACATCCAACTAACGCAAGGTTGGCTCTTCTTTCCTCGTTGAAGCAGTTATTGGGGCAAGCCTGGCAGACAAAACCTTAGCCCTATATGCAGGCACAATCCCAAGCAGCAGCATTTCCTGAGGGCTGTTTTCCTGGGTGCACAGCCCACTGCTCACTGAGAGAGCTGAGCAATCTTTACACGGCAAGTATCAAACACACAGCACCGGCAAACACCTTCTCCGGCTTAGCTGTGAATGTAATTTCCTCTTTTGCCATGCCTGGGAAACGTTCAAGTGTTGTGTTTCTCTTGCAACAGTTAATAACACTGTGAGCACCTGCAACTCGATAAGCAAAGCCTCTCCTAGCTCTGCTTTTAGCGTTAGTGCTGATGTGGTCTAATTTTTCAGGAGAAACACAAAACTCTCGGCTCAAGTTACGGCCCCTCAAATCCTTCTGGCTCACCAGCCAGTATAAACATTGCTGTGTGTAAGCCTTGTGAGGGGAAACAAACACAGAAATACATTTAAAGATTCCTAAAAGGTAAGAGAGATGAACTACTGACTTTGCAGTCCAACTGGCATGAACATCTATTTTGCTCTGAATGTATATTTTCCACCACAAAAAAGATGTGGGATAAATAAGGCACCTGTGATGCTGTGATGTGCTCATCATGCATCCTCAACCAGGGCTGTGTAAGACTTGTGTCTTTCACATGAGGGAAGACAAAAGATTAAATAGGTCTTTTTATTTTCACTGACTAGTTTCCTAGTGCTGTCTATTTTAATCATTAGCTGCAAAGATGAGAGGAGTCATTATCATGTTACGTAGCAATTCAACAGATACCACATGAAAAAAGAACACAGGGAACAGGCAGTAAAAAATGTAAAGCATTGTTGGCCAATTTAGTTACCCTCTCAAATGTTTGACCTGATATAGAAATTGATTAAGATTTGACTAACCCTTTTGGGGGGTTATTTGTCTTTTACTGATACTGCATTTGTTTAAACTGAGTTTCGTGGGCACTGATTATTATCAGGAATGATATAGAAGTGGAGCACACGGAACTATCTTTTAGGAACTGGAAGACATTCCCATTCTCTCTGTCCTAAACTCCAACATGATCTCTGTATGTGTTCTGTATTCCCCCAAACTGAATTTTTCTTCTGAAGTTCCTAAAGGTTAGTGCTAGGAGCCACATGCATTTAGATTGTGTATGTAAAGACACCATCATGAATTCTAAAATGGGTAGGTCCTTTAGTTGTATTTCCATCCCCTTTCTTTAATTCCTTACTCTTGAGTTTGTTTTAAAAGGAAAAAGACTACATTCAGCACTCTGCACCTCTTTCGATCTGAAAACATGGCCTATGTGTAATAATATAACACAAAGGTTAAAAGGAGAAATGAGTCAAGCTTTCAGAAGGGTAAGCTCTGAACAGTCAAAATTAGTATGCCAGTTCCCTGAAACATGAAATATTGACCAAAGAAATTGATTTCTGAACCTATAAAGAAACAATTTTCTCCTCTGTCTTGAATATTAGAAAATCAGGGGAAAGGAGAATAAAGAAATCTAAATAATTTCTTGTTTCCAGAAACAAATGACTGAGGAAACGTGTTTACTACCTTAAGGTTTATAGTCAGGTCAGAAGATTTGGCATGCATAAGTTCTCACAGTAGGATAACCCTTCGATTCCTCACACATTGGAGTATTTGCCCATACCAGCAAATTAATATCTACATGCCTTGGGCATCCAGCATAGGTTTATGTTGTTGTTGGAATCACAGCATTCTAAGAATCTATTTCAACTTGCTATTTTGTTATTACAGTTTTTCACTCTGTGTAGTATTACTCAGTTTTGGGTTTGATGACTGATGGACATGCAACTCCACATGTGATCTTAGAGGTACTTACAGTTCACAAACAAAAATATGACCAAATGGAAAAGAAATTTGGTTTTATATTTGTCTTGTTCCTTGCATTCAAGCCTGGCTTGAGCCTAAGGATACATTTCCTTTCATAAACGTATCTGTCTGATATTGCCAAACAATCATACATAGCAATGTAATTTCTGAATGCTGTGACTACATGGGTATTTGTGTGGGTTATTTTCTTGTAGCATTAACTTCAGCTAAACTACAGTGTTCTCACACATATGTTAAGATTCTGATGAGTGTATCTTGTCCTGCCTTCTTTGCATAAATAAACCTCCAAAGAATGTGAAAAGAAACCCCAAAACATTATGCACGGATTACCTGCATTAAGTCTGATTTGAACTGTTGGCTCTTATTTGCATGTTGATCTCAGTATTGCCCTGTCTGCCTGGTGCTTGGTGTTTCCTTTTCCTCCAGGCAACTGCAGGTCTATTCCTAGTGGTCTGTGGAAAATTGTTCCTGGAGAGAATGCCTTGAAATAAAACGATATTGTTTTGTATGCAATACTGTTCATAAAGAAACTCAATGAACGGTGTGTTAAACTTGCTTCAGAGAAAACAAGAAACTCTCACCTACAGAGAAAAAAATGTTGCCATTAATACAGGATCTGATGGCCTGAGGCCACCAAGAAAGCACATAGCCCATACCAAATCATTCGTTAACGGCTATAAAGCTAATGAAAAGCAATACTCTTCTATTAATATGGATTAGAGATGAAGTCTGAACTGTGAATCCTTGCCAACTGAAACGCTTACTCTAACAGCATGAATAAAGGAATCCATGGACATCTTCCTGACACAAGAGCACTAAATCATCCTCAAATCAATACAAGTGCTTTGGTGTAGTCATCTCTACCCGGAGTTGAAGAAGGTTGGCATTTGTCTGCCAAGTCTGTGGCAGGCTAAGAGGCACAGCTTAAATAAAGTGGAACGGAAACTACTCCAGCTGCCCTCACATACATTTTTCAGATCCTGACAAGAGTCAGTCTGGGAATGTGAGGATTATGCCAGGCTGAACGAATGAAAAAGAGCACTGCTTCTGTAACATATGTTTCCTCTCAGTCTAGAGGTGGTCTCCTAGTGGGCCTGAATTTCTTTGCACATCATATTTGGCACCAGTGTGCAGAATCCAAAGGTATTTTTAACACACTAAAAGAAAGTGCCTGGGCAATATGCCTCCCGCACAAGATGACACTCCTACTGGGGACTCTTCTAGTGAGGTTCCAGACTTGCTTTATATTTATAACACTGCTCACTTTACAAACAGTGTTTGTCATTTTAAATTTCAACGAGCAGCAGAATAATTTCAGACATTTCAGAAGAAAAAAAAAAGAGCAATGGAAATAGTGGCAATAACTGGCTTTTTCCTGAAGTCATACTTCTTTAAGAAAACTTAGCTCCATTTCTATATCTTATATTTTGCAGGAAAAATCCTGGCCATACATATTGCCAGCTGCTAAAATACCAAGAGGCAGAAAAAACCCAAAGATGGAGCAGGGAGGAAGAATTTATAGGTTTTATGAATAGGAATGCAGAAGGAAAACATTATCAGTATGCTCACGTCCTTCTATTTGGCTGAAATGCAAAAATTTCCATTTTCATAAATAACATAATAGATAGCTCCAAAGAAAGAAAACATTCTTCCTTCCTAATACCAGTTCCCAGTATCTGACATTATTTGGCATGGCCTTTTTATTCTATATTAACCTATGCATTTGGTATCAATTATGAAAACATTAGATTTCTACAGATTTATTCTGAATTTATCAACCACTGAAAATACACAGAAATAAACAGACTTGAGATATTATGTGAATCAGGCACCTTTCGTACTCTAGGGTATCTTACCACTACAGAGATATTCTGTGCCCCACACCCTTGGACTGAGGCCACATGGTGAAACTCAAGCTGGCAGACATAGAATCTAGAGGTCTTGGTGTCCCACATACACTTAGTTTTTAGAGCCAATAGCTTGCCACAGTCAGAACCTCTGAAAATGGTATCTAGAAGCCCAGAGGCCCTTTGATTTAGGATATTCAGCTCAGTGAAACCACGCTAGAGAAAGTACAGATAACATTCTCATCTAAGAGTTTAGTAGAAAGAAAAAGAAAATACATCTGAATATTCCCACCTACCTTTAATGGGAAATTCAAAAGGTTTACTTCTCCCCCACCACAGAAAGGTACAAGTTTTTGCTCACGTGGTCTTTCTGAACGTCTTCCCAGAAAGATTTCAAGCAATCCCAAGGTTTCCAGGATTAGGAATGTGTTCAGGGAGTTAGAATCCAGGGATTTGGATTACACACATTTTAGTGTATGTAATAAGGACCGATAATCCTTTGCATGCATAAAAGCACAAAATAGCCACATGAGCCTCTCCTGTCCCAATACCACCCTTAGGGCAAGAACACTAAAAGTTTCCTGAAGGATTCATGAATGCCTGGAGTTCAGTCCCAGCCCCTGAAGGAAAACTCAAAGCTCAACAGCAGCTACATAACAGAGAGCCTTTTTTTTTAAGTTCTAGAGGCAGACAAAAATACTGAAGTCAATAGGTTTAAAATGAGATAAAAATTAATATGATGTATGGTGAGGTATAGAATCCCCAAGCTTTTTTCCTGATGTACAAACTTGTCAGACTTATTTTTAGCTTACTACACTCAAAGTGGAGTTGGTTGGGAAAAGCTTCTGGAGTTATCCCAGAGAACCTGCTGGGAAAAATACCGATATGAATTAAAACAATGTTTTTAAAGGTTATAATAGAATTTATTGATACGTATAAAAGCACAAACCTAGAACCAATAAAAGCTGTGGATTGATAATGTCAGGCTTCCAGGAAGGGCTGAGCCTACAACACTCATGAAGAGCCTTGAGAAAACTGTGGTGGGCTGAAAGCTGGCACAATCCTCCCGTTGTGAACGTGTGAAGGAAAGGTAAAACTGGAAGTTTGTCGAGTTTTCCCCACTGCTGACTTTAGAAACCACCCTTCTTCACACTTGTTCGGATTTTACATGTCCTTCAAAAAGACCAAACTTGGATTAAAGGTTTGGCAAGAGGGAGAATTTGACACAGCCTTTGAAAACAATTTTGTTCTCTCATTGTTTTTCCTTCTTTCCCCAAAGTCATAGAATCATAGAATAGCTAGGGCTGGAAAGGACCTTAAGATCATCCAGTTCCAACCCCCCTGCCATGAGCAGGGACACATCGCACTAAACCATCTCACCCAAGGCTCTGTCCAACCTGGCCTTGAATGCTGCCAGGGATGGAGCATTCACAACCTTCCTGGGCAACCCATTCCAGTGCCTCACCACCCTAACAGGAAAGAATTTCCTCCTTATATCCAATCTAATCTCTTAACTTCACATCTAAACTTACCATGTGTATACTATTTTACTGCTCTATACAAGTTTTATGATGCTACATGTGGTAAAAAGCATTATCCATTTAAAACCTTAGTCAAATATAATAGCATCACATTTACATTCCACGCAGCACACCGGGTTTTGGAACAATCCCTCAGTTTTGAAAGCACAGTAAAATACACCTTTGATACTAGGTTGGTTACTAAATCTGTTCTTCTGATAGTGATCAGACTTGCTCTGTATTGCAGCCACATAGCTACAGTGCACTCAAGAATACTGCATATGAAGACAGCTATAACAAACACTTTGTCTTCAATGGGCCCCATGGTTCAGCTGTGGTGCTTTTTAATGTCTATATTCAAGTTAATGAGTACAGCAAAAGGGTTCTTTGCCCTTATGAATAATGATATTTCAAACAGTAATTTGAGTTGAGAGTTTTCCATCATTTGCACTCAAAGTCGCAGACAGGTCTTTGAGCAATTTCCATGTTTTTTTTAGTTTTTCTGGTAGATTATTGATTCCTAAAGATAACATGACTTGAAAGATCGGTAAAGGTTAGCTAGTCAAAGAAACATACATCATTTAAAATGCCTCTATGCATTTGGGAGCTCAACAATACCTTTTAGTGTTACTTAGGAGTTACAAGAAACAGCTACTTTTAGGATGATTTTTAATCCAGACTACTTGTTGTAAAGCCAATTTTTGAGTACTGTCTATCTTTTTATATGAAGACTTGGAAGGCAACTTGGATATGAAGTAAGTGCACATATACCTCTTCGAAGATCTTCTGACATCTTCAATATGGACTCTCTCCAGTGCTTGAATTGAGTGGAAAAGGAATACTAAATCCCTGTTACCTGCACTGTTTCCTCCACTGTAGAAGTTGAAGGAGCATGGCTCTAGCTGCACCAGCAAAAATGACTCCTGGCTTGGATGCCATCAAGATGTCACAAACATCCACTTGTCCCCGTGGCATTTCGTTTCCTGTACCAGGCTTGTCCATGTGGGCCAGGACGATGAGGCCAACATGGGTTAGCCAGAGGCTCTCCAGCTTCTTGGAGCTGTGAGTGGCTGCAGCAGCTCTAACAGGGAAGGGGGCTGTAGGACTTTAGCCATGCAGAAAAGGAGGTTACACACTGGAGACCGCCATGTGTGCGTGGCCAGGCCACAGGACCTGCAGGATCAGACCCTGAAATGCAAGTGAAACACACCGAGAAGAACCTAGAAAATAAACCAAGAGGAGCTCATTGTCTTATGGTGGGGGCTTTCTGCTGCTAGACAGGACTAATATTTTTATTTTCTTATTTCTTTGCAGCTGCGGAAGTACCTGTTTTTTGTTTCCCCAACCCAAAAATGAGGTTCTGTGAAGTTCCCTCCCCCTGCACTGCATTTTGTTTTTATTTACTCACTGCACAGGTGAGAGCGGAAAGAGTAATTCACATAACTAAGTTGTTCACTGTAAAATGCAGTGATTAGGTCTAAAAAAAACAAAGTCCCTCATGGGTCAACTATGCTATGTGTATGGGGAGGGCAGGGACACCTCACACTAAACCATGTCACACAAGGCCCTGTCCAACCTGACCTTGAGCACCACCAGGGATGGAGCATTCACAACTTCACTGGGCAACCCATTCCAGTGCCTCACCACCCTCACAGTAAAGGACTTCTTCCTTATATCCAATCTAAACTTCCCCTGTTTAAGTTTGAACCCGTTACCCCTTGTCCTATCACTACAGTTCCTAACAGAGTATTCCTCCCCAGCATCCCTGTAGGCCCCCTTCAGATACTGGAAGGCTGCTGTGAGGTCTCCACGCAGCCTTCTTTTCTCAAGGCTGAAGACTGTTTTACTTGTGCAGCCTTTGGTCAAAGCTGAATCACAGCCACGACTAACAAGGGTCCAGTCTGGTTGGAAAAGCAGTGCTTTTAAATCACAGATATACAAGGAAGGCTTTGAATATCCTTCTTGTTGTGTCTGAACTCACACTGTAATGTCAGACTCCTTTATTTCATGTGCACTCTTTCCCTTTCCTTCTCTTCACCGCGCTTTCTGCAAGCCCCTGCAATCGTCCAGTGTGAAAGCCAAACAGCTTATATCTGCCTAAAATAGGCTTCTCTAACTGTGATGTAGCCGTTTTCTACCAGAAATGATGCTTTTATCAATTCAACTTCCAAACGTATCTAAGATGGCAGTTTAGGAAATCGTACAATGCGCACAATACCTAGACTAAAGGTAAAAAACTCTTCCTTTACAAACATTGAAACATTCAGTGCTTTACTAATGAGCTCACTTCTATTATCTACCAACCTATAGCCACCTTTGCAGGGCTATAATACCAGAGATAATTAGTGCAGGCTTGTCAATTTGATTTTGGTTAACTTTATGGCCTCTTTATATTATGATCCCTGTGGGAGCTTGTAGTTTGCTCGTTGGCCAAGCAACAAAATGCATTTATTCTGGCCTAAACAATAGCACCATTTAATTAAGAGGTGTCATGCTATTTATTGTATATCACGTGCTCTACCTTTGATGAGGAGTTATAGACATAGAAGGTTTGTCAGATTCAATTTCTCTGCTGTAATTTCCTACCAAGAGAAAATGTGACATGAGGCAGAGATCCAATTTCCCATTTCTATTTAGCATTTATATTGACAGAATTAATGATTTTAACATCATCTTTGGCCTGCTGCTAAATGGAAGACATATATTGCCTGCTGAGATAGTAATTCTTTCTCTAAATTATGTATACGTGTGTGTATGTACACACGCTTACATACGCTTACACACACACGTATTTCCTCAATTATTTTTCCATGGGGAAATTATACATTTTTATTAAACTCATATTCAGAGAGGAAGGGTAGGTGATGGGAAACGTAATTAGGAAGAGTAATAACAGTGATCTTAGACAATGTTTCTAAGCAGGGATAAAAATGAGAGTCCTTTGCATATTTGCCATGACAAAGGGTTCAGGAAGGCCCAAGCTGATGAATTCCTGGCATGTTGACGGAACTAATTTCATTTCTGAAGCTCTCCTATGAGAACGCTGTACAATATATGTACTGCCCATTTGTCAAAGTTGCCATGCAAGAAGTTTCAATTTCCTTCTCTGAAAATAATTGACCAAAGGATCAAGAAGTTCAAAAGAATAGGGGGAAATGAATAAATATTATATAGAAATATAACGCATTGTAATTATATTGTATATGCTATTCTAATAGAAATGTAGAGATCCCTGTTACAATTCTTGAACCTCTTAATAGAGCCAGAGAGAACTACTTTGTAGCTTCAGTGTGCTGAAAGAGGGCTGAATTCCTTTCCTGGTAATCTACCTACCTTTATAATTTTGTTAGAAGTCACTAGCTTTAAATTTAATTTTAATTTAATTTAATGAAATAGAGGATATTTTAAATCCCTTTCCTTGAATATTTTATACTCTGAATCGCTTCTGTTGGAACCTTTAGCAAGTTAAAAACAGCCTCACTTATCTGACACAGAGGAAGACTCATGCAAGGGAAGAAGGACAGACAAGCTTCAGAGGGCAAGTCACACTTTACTCTCCTCTTGATGGCTTGACATAGTGGTGCTAGGTAGTATACCCAGTCAGTAGAAATGTGTTCATGTTACATTTTTTGTACACTCCTATGTCACCTAGGAACCCCTTTATGGCCTTATATATGATGTGACGAACAGCTGCCACCTCCTTCTGAAAGGAGTGGAAGTAGCAGGTTGGTTTTTTTTTTTTGGGGGGGGGGGTAGGAAAGTAGGAAAGCCACTTGGAAGGAACCTTTATCCACATATGGAGGTTTTCCACACTAAAGATCTGGGAATGACCCCAGGAAGGCTGCACTCCTCCAGGTTTGGGATTAGTGGTCATCTGG